ACCTAATGTTCCCGGCACGGGCACATGCAGAACTCTATCGACACACAGTAAACAAACTGGATATTGAAAGCCCTATGACAGGTTTTTCCTTGGCAGTTATAAGAATCTACTCCGCTTTAGACGCCCCCAAATATGGAGATGTACCCGAAGTTTCGTGATAAACATTTTCATGTGACCACAGATGTTACACAGCTATCACGTTCACTGACTATCAAAGCTTACTCAGCAAGCGCATAAATCGCTAAAACAGTGTGTGACGGATAATCTACACATAAAAAAGTTTGATCGTTGCATCTTTACACGCAAATGGGAGCTTTCCACACAATCACTAATAAATTGGAGGCTAAGTTTAAAAATTTTGGAACGATCGTTTTGAAAATAGTCACATTGTAATATTGTTAGTGTAGCACACTATATTTAATATAACGTAAACTCGAAACGGTTAATCATGAATGCTAATAAGATTTTGTCCAATTTTTTATTTTTATCAATCATAATATCGAGTCAAAAGAAAAAAAAAATACGTGTTTTCGACATTTATCGTAAAAGAAATAAATTTTATATTTTATATATAAATTTTGTTTTTGGTGTTTGGAAATGTAAAGCATATATAAACAGGTGGAAAAAGTATACAGGTTAATGAGTTTTTCTTAAAAAGAAAAAAAGTAATCGGGAGGTAAAAAAAAAAAGAAAAACTTATGTATAAAAAAATGAGAAAGAAAAAATTTACAACTGTACAAAATAAAGTTTAAATCGAATTTATCCATAGGTTTTAGCGATAATATTTTTTTTTGTTATATAATATGTAGTTCGTCTTTTTTTTGTGGTTTTGTTGGCGATCAAGTTATCAGAAGAACGTTTTTTTTTTTTTTTTTTTTTTTTTTAGGAAAACAACGTACGTACGTATATATAATAAACATAATAAATAATTTTAAATATTACAATTGTTAAATCAATTTGTATAGAATGTTCTGGGAAGAATGTTCTTTCATAATCAACAATGTATAAAAACGCGAGCAATTTAAGGTTATCTTATCTAAACACGTGTTCAGATGTATGTACTGTACACCTTGCGCGGGATAACCTAGCATACATTCCAATATCTCATACGCAACTACGTGATAGAATTAAATATTTTTCGGGAATATTATTATCGTTCATAAACAATATGATGAAAATTTCCGGGTTCCTGCAATTTAAAAAATGTGACATAATGACAAACTTTCGTTAATATTTTTGAAAATATAATTTGCTCATTAAAATGCATCACTTTGGACAATTACAGTAGGACGAATATATAATACTGTATGTTCAGTTTAAACGGTTTCAATGGAATCCGATTTACCAAGAATTACTTGTAAACTACATTGAAGAAACGTTACGTTCAACCTGGACAACGAGCAGCAGGCTCATGGCTTTAAACTTATAACTAAGTTGTCTCTTAAGTTATTTAAACCATAGTATGGCACAAACTGTTTGCATTCTAAATATGACTAATTAAAGCGATTCATTTCACTTTGATATATATTCAATGCATTCACTAAAAAGTCAAGGCCATATAATTAAATCAAATATAACGTGTGCATATTAATAAATTTATAAATTTGGAGCGCGCATTTAGATACGTATAAATTATGATTCCAAACAATTTTTCAAGCCTAATACATTCTCTAAGTTCTCTTTCATAAATCCATCTGAAGATTCTCTTGTTAGTAAAGGTCCAACACTCATTTCGTTCCAATTTTCCCAAACGGTTTCAACTTGCGTAATAAAATTATCTCCAATACCTACGCAAAATATAGCATCATACCCTCCAGCTATTAATGAGTTAAAAAAAATAATTCAAACATTAATAAATAGATATTATTAATTAATGATATTATAATGAATTATTTAATAGATATTATTAATTAATGATATTATTAATTAATAATATTAAAAATATTTACCACCAGGGACACCAGCCATAATTACACCAGGAACCTCTGTACATGCATCGAGTAATCTTGTTTGCATAGGTGGTTCGATTGGTGCATCCGACATGTTTGACATGTCACGTAGCAATTGACGAACTTTCTAAAATAATAAAACAAGAAGCATATAAATGAATAAATAAAGAAATATAAATAAATATATAAATAACATTTTTTTTAAATGTTAATACTTGAAATTCGGTAAAAGTAGAATAAAGCAATTTGAAAGTTCGTTTTCCCGGTCGTTCCTGATTAAGTAGGTTTGACCACTAAAATCCGAAAATTTCAAAGTTTAATTTATTTAATGAAAAGAAAGGTTGATTTTGAATTTTTATATTTTACCATAGATCCTTTAACACAAGAACAAGTTCTAATTGTGTTGTAGTACTCCGTTTTATCCTTTTCATATTCTTTGGTTAATTCGATGAGATTATTAACAACAATTGCATTACTAGAAGCAATCGTATCCCACAATTTATTCGCTAATAAATTAACAAAATTTATCAGTTATGCGGCAAAAATGTATATATTCGGAAAAAATCATGATATTAACCTTGTTCAGAGTTTTCTTTACGCCATGCTAATACTTTTCCTACCATGCTTGGTGTATTAGATCCAGAATCTACCTCAGCAAGAACCATCTTAAATTCTGGAGGAAGGCCAAATGGCGTTATTTGATTGTCCCACCTACATGCATAAAAGAAATGAAATCATAGAAGGAATAAGAGTCAAGTATGCTATATGGTCCTGAGATACTAAAAACACAATATATACTTATAATCTGGATCGACGATTTTGCTGAGAACGTCTATACTAACATTCTTATAAAAATGATAAAAATGGTAGTATTCATTTCATTAAAATCAATTTTCTATTATTATCATTATTGTCATTATTATTATTATTTTCATTGTACATACTTCGCTTTTCATTATTGGTTCCAATATCGTTGGCGAAAATCTCTTGTACACGTGACTTCCCCAAATGGCGGCAGAAATGTCAAACCCTGATCCAACTTTGCCTTGAGCAAGACAATGACAAAACTGTGACACATTATGAATTAACGTTCTTTCCTTGACATCATCATTAACTTTATCAACGCATTCGAAATAAACAAATAAAGCTGCAACCAGGGAAGTTGTTAGTGCTGCCGATGAACCAAGACCCGTTTTGTGAACTTGTTTAAGGAGGGTATGGACTTTACAGAATGGGGTCAGTGCACGTAATGATGTGGTGGTAAGAGGCAAATTCAAATTTTTTAGCTTTAATTTTTAAAGAAAATGAATTTAATAATAATAATAATAATAATAATAATAATAATAATGATAAAGATTTTAATTCATTTTTTTTTTACTTGTTCACGTTGCGAATAAAAGTCATTGCTGCCAGCCATATAGATATTTAACCCTTTAAGGACTAATTCATCGAATTTTTGACTGGGAATACGGTTTGCAATAATTAACAAACTATGTTTTAGGACAGTCTCAATAAACGTATTACGCCTATCCTTGTCACTATATTATTCAGAAAAAATCAATTAAATTATTGAAAACGAAATAATTTATTAAATATAAAGTAAATTACAGTGCGGTGAGTTCACATAATCCTTCTTTTATTGCAATTTTATACTCCCAGTTTGGGTCGTCAAACTGTGGAGTGTGGATAATAATTTTTGATGAATTGTCACCAGGTTGAATTACAGTATAGAAGCGAGAACTTGTTCCGATTACAAGTCCCTCATATTTCCTATCAAGTACTAAATATCCGCCCGTCAGAAGTACTTTGCCGGGTGCCGAAACAACTGTCGAAGACATTACAATAATTTGAAGGTATCAATATAACGATAGTGTGTTCGTTTTTTATTGGCCAAAAAAAAAAGATCGGCAGTTCATCGTTATATGGTGACTTGTCTCAGGTAAATTTGAGTTGATTTTTTATCTAGTGATCCTAACTGACAACAATAGATGAAAAAATTTGCAAAGCAAATTATCAACTTATATTGACCGTTTTTTTTTTTATTAAATCGACTAATTGATTTCTTATTAAGATTGACATTTCCAAAAAAGCTGGTAATAATTAAACCAAAATCGTGCACGTTCAATGATGATTTTATTATAATTATCCCTAACGCTAACGCTAACATTTCCTAGATTGAAATGCGAATAAGGAAACCCGATTATAGGGGTAGTTGCATGTTGATCTGATTGGTTATCATAACAAGATTTCGCGCAGGGCATAAGCGCTGACATACGTATCTGGGCATTTACAGAGCATTTACAGAGACCAGAGATGTACCCAAGATATATGTAATAATATTATCCTAATCGGTTGGGTGTTGGTGAAAAATAAAGTTCAATTTATATATATTGTGCGTGAAATTAGAATGTGTGTGGATTTAAGTTTGAGATACGTATTGAACTAAAATTGATAATTTATGAGTAATGCTAAGTAGTGTTACAAATCGAAAGTTGACAAAATCGATTAGTTACAACTAATCGATTGAACATTTTAGACACCAACTAATCGATTATTGCGGTTTGCAAAATTCTGTAAATTTTGCAAATCATAAAAAAAAAAAAATCGATTATGATTAATGATTATTGATTATGATTAACGATTAGTGATTTCCGATTTCTAATTTTTTTTCATATATTT